CGGAGCGCGGCCAGGCCGGATCCCCAGGGGCGCCAAGTGACGCGGGCGCAGCGCTCATGGGGCTCTCGGCAGTCAGGGCACGGCTCGCACCACCGCCGCCGGTCCCCGAGGTCCTCCGAGCCTCTTCCTGTCTTTGCTTCGGGCCCTGGGCGCCTGCTCCAGCCGCCGTGAGGCCTGACCCTGCCCTGCGCTGCGTGGTGCGGGGGCGGGGGGATGGGGTGCTGGAGGCCCCCTGACATCCCGGCTCTCCCGGGCCAGCGCCGGGAGGGGGCAGCCTCAGAGGGCTGGGGGTGGGAGGGCAGCAGCTCTGGCCCCAGCCCAGTGGGGACACCAGGCCCAGCCACGCGGTCCCAGCGGGCTCTGAGACCCCACATGCGACTTCACCCATCCTGCCGCCTACAGGCGTTAACACGAAGACAGTGTCCAAAAGATGCTGTCCTGGTTTGTTTTGCTTTTTAGTTAGGTTGTTTTTGCAAGTAAAACCTTTTATGAGGCCTTTTCATTCCTGATTCTTTTAAGCTTAATGTAACGCCCTGTGGAGAACTGATGACTCATTCACCCTGCGCTCCCCGTAGGAGGTGAAGAAGCCAAGGTTAGTCCTCTCTCACGCCTGCCGTGGATCCTTCTCAGCTCCCGGTGTGTCCGCCTGAAAGCCCAGCATTTTCTCACACTTGTGATCCTTGCTCTGTGGATCCTCTTTGATTCAATTTAGTGAGCAGTTCGGGGTTCCTACCGCTTTGTTCACAGCAGCTCACCTCCTCACAGCGGACAGGCCATTTGTGTGTCTCCACTGCCGAGGGTCCTGGGGGTCATTAGTGGACCACAGGTGAGGAGGGTGGCCGCAGAGGCCCTTTGAGAATGTGGCCAACCCCCTTCCGACAAGAAGCGTGCGGTGTCCTGTGGTGCAGGCCCAGGGCTGATCCTGAGAAAAGGAGAATAAGAAACGGGAATGGATGGCCCTGGGCAGCTAACAATCACCTGCTCTCAGAAAAGATGGTCTAGCAGTAAGGAAGTACTTTAAAGAGTATTCAAGATTTGAGGCTTAATCTGGAGGCTTGCAACTCTTTGTTCTGTAAATATTTCAGAAAATCTTAACCTTTGTAGCACCTTCATCTGATTCCCTGAAGTCCTCAGTGAGATAGGAAGGGAGGTTAGTGCATTAAACAAGAAACCTTGGGAACAGGTGTGACTTACCCAAGGTCGTGGAGTAACTCCTGGGAAAGCTGAGGCTGGAACCCAGGACTTCACAACCTCCTTTCCTCCTTTGCATAATTTATTGAAAACCCACTGTGTGGCAGGCACTGTACCAGGCTATGGGACTGAACAGAAAGCTTAAGTCCTTTCTGCGCTGGGGGTTTCACTCTAGAGGGGTACAGCCATCACACACAACGGATAAACAGACAAGTAAATGAACTGCAGTTTGTCGTTGGTACTATTAATCCTTCAACACTGACTCAAGTTAGAAAGTGACCGAGGTGGGGCAAAGGGAGGGATTCACCAGGTGGGCGGCCAGGGAAGTGTCCTCTTAGGAGATGACACTGAAGCAGCCAGGGGAATCCTACTGAGGGAGAGTAGGGGAACCTTCTAGGACCAAAAAACAACATGCTCTGAGACTTCAAAACAGGAGCGAAAGGAAGGTATAGATTTGAGATATATTTTCAAGGGAGGATTACTAAAGAGGTGAGGAAAAGAGAAGGACCAAGGTGAGTCTCGGGTTCTTCGAGGAGCAGCTGGCTGGCTGGTGGTATGACTACAGTTAGGGAATCGTGGGAGAGAGCAGGGGAACGACTGAGAATCAGGAGTTGAGTTTGAGCATGATAAGCTGGAGAGGCTGGTTGCATATTCAAGGGGCGGTGTCATTAGGTAGGTTGTAACTCCAAATCTGGAACTCAGGGGAGAGGCCCAAGATGGAGTTATGAATTTGGGAATCTTGAATTTATAGAAAGTATATAAAGTCATGGGGTTAGAAGTAGATATGTAGAAAGAGGAGAAGAGAAGAGATGCATGAAGGAGCCCTGGGATTCTCCGATATTTAGAAGTCAAAGTCAAAGAGGAAGAAGCAGAAAAGGAGACTGAGAAAGAACATCCAGTATAGTAGGAAAAAAAAAAAAGATGTGTAGTTTTATTTTATTTTATTTTAAAGATTTTATTCTAAGTAATCTCTACACCCAATGTGGGGCTTGAACGCATAACCCTAAGATCAAGAGTTGCATGCTGTACCAACTGAGCCAGCCATGTGCCCCTGAAGTGTAGTCTTAAAAAGGACAAGTGCTCAACCATGTCAAATGCTGCTAGGGAATTGTGTAAAATGAGGACATAGACACGACCACAAATTTTGGCAATGTAGAGGTCATTCATGACCTCAGTAACAGGAGTTTCAGTGCATTGGTTTGGGTGGAAGACTGGGTGGAGAGGGTTGAAGAGTAAATACTGACTTCAGGATGAAAATAGTACAGAGACCACAGTGAAAACCCAAGGCGATCTCTAACGCCAGAGAACACAGAAAGCTGTTCAAGGATGGAAAGGTCATCATAATATACCATATGGCTTAGCTTGGAGAGTATAACTGAAGTCTAACTCAGTACTAATCTAACTATTATGATGTCATTAAAACAAATAAATGGTGGGTGGGAAAGCATGTGTAGGGGGTGGGGTGGAGAGGGACTGGTGAAAGACCTGATTCCTCCCTTTTGTTAAAAAAAAAGATTTTTATTTATTTGACAGACAGAGATCACAAGTAGGCAGAGAGGCAGGCAGAGAGACAGAGAGAGAGGAAAGCAGACTCCCTACCATGGGGCTCAATCCCAGGACCCTGGAATCATGACCTGAGCCAAAGGCAGACACTTAACGACTGAGCCACCAGGTGCCCCTAAGTCCTCTCTTTTAAAATGACATGTGACTAAAGATCCATGAGCCCAGGTGTAGGGGATGTAAGGATAGAGGAGGTGTGAAAAAGTAGATCTGAAAAGGGAACATGTGAGGGAAGTGTAGGAGCATAGTGTGTCCAAAAGATCCATGAGATGTGTGAGGTGATATATTTGACATGACAGCACAGTAACAAGATTTTTCTAGCCCATGCATGTTCCAAGAAGGTGGGTATTGGAGAAGCAGGCCCTCTAGCATCTCAATGGCCGTGGTGTTTGGGGTCCTCAAGGGGGCCCTGGTGTGGGAGGCAAGTCTTAGAATGAAGATCCTGGTAGACACAGCTGGTTGGGACATGCGTGTCCTGGCCTGTCCCAGGCCCTGAGCCCTTTAGTGAGTGTAGCTCCATACATTTTCAGATGATAACTTGGACCTGAAGTGCGGAGAGGGTAAGGTGCTGGGCCAAGGCCACACAGCTGGCCTAAACTAGGCCTTGTGGCCTCCATCACAACTGAAAGTCTCAGGGGAGCAATAGTTCGGACCCAGCTTCTCTCTAGGCCCCATGAATGGAATGAAAATATTCCTCCTGGGGGTGCCTGGGTGGCTCAGTGGGTTAAAGCCTCTGCCTTTGGCTCAGGTCATAATCTCAGGGTCCTGGGATCAAGCCCCACATTGGGCTCTCTGCTCAGCAGGGAGCCTGCTTCCCCCTCTCGCTCTCTGCTTGCCTCTCTGCCTACTTGTGATCTCCGTCTGTCAAATAAATAAATAAAATCTTAAAAAAAAAAAAGAAAATATTCCTCCTGGGTTAACCCAGGAAGCTGTTCTCTCTGGAAGACTCTCTTCAGCTCTTAATAAAAATAATAGCATTTACAATACAATACTGTTATTAATTAGCTTTATGGTGGTACAGAAACTTTTCTAAAGCTCTTATATATTATTATTTCAGTCCTCACCACACTATGAGGTGGATACTAGTTAGCGTCTTCCCCACATTACACTGGAAGAAAGTGAGCCACAGAGAGATCAAGGAAACTGCCCGTCAGGAGGTTTTGAGCAACAGAAGCCAGATTCTGACAGGCCTTTGGGCTCCAGTGTCCTCACAGTCCATAAAGGGATGTTCCTGAAAAGCCCGGTGTAAGGTTTTGAGTGTGGGTGGTCCCTCCCTGGGACTCTGAGCCCCTTACAGCACTTGCTGGGGAGAAGGCAGCCAGAACTTTCTTGGCTCCCCTTGAGAGGAGGCGAAGAGCCTGGGGCTGGGAGAGCCAGGGGCGTAACAGATCCTGACAGGAGTAGGGTGGCTAGCCTGGGTCCAAGGATCAGAGGGGCACTCTGGTGGCCCAGGAGAGGGAGGCTTTAGTCCCTTCATCCTACCAGCCTGGAGCTGTGAACCAAAGTTTGCTTTCTCAGGCTAGTCTCATTCGGCTGTGGCTCCTTCAGCCCCCCAACACCAAAACTCCTGTGCCCCCACTTCTATTCCAGGCCTGAGAGAGTACCTGCCCCTATCTCCACAAACTAGGGTCCTTGTAGGGGTAGGAATTAGGGCAGGTGCCTTTCCCACATCTTTGAATCTTACTGGGTCTGAATCCTGCTCTGGGTGTGAGTGGGGTGGGGGGTGGCAGTGTCGTTCCCCCCCACCCCAGGAGACCAACCCTCCTGATGGGGTTCTGCATACCTGTCTGTCCCCTGTTCCACCATTCCTGGGCGGGGGCCGACCCTGCTCCCTGCACCCCAGTTCCTCTGGCCCCCCTCACCACTTTCTCAGGTGTCTGTGTCTGGGGACGGGCCCGCTGACCCCCCCAGCCTCTTCTGGGCAGCCAGAAAGCTTGGGGACAGTCTCTGCAAGACCCCTGCCCCCATTTGTCCTTCTCCCCAGGTCCAGAGAGCCAAGTCACTGTTGCAGCAGCTCCTGTCACACCGTAGCCGCACTGCCAGTGACAGCCTGAAGGCTGGCGCCCCTCCTCTGCAGGCCCCCCCCACAGACAGGTCCACGTGCGTCCCCAGACGCCTGAATCACTGCTGACGGCTTGGGACCTGGCGGTCGTGGGTTCCTGGGAAGTCACCGGGGAGGGGGGTGGGTTGGCGGCCACGTCGTCTCCGGGGGAACACCTGCAGACATAAATAGGCAGTCAGCGAAGGCCGCGCTGCACAGTCCGCACAGGGATCCGCACACTGTGCCCACCTGCGCCAGGATGCCGGACGCCATGCTCCCTGCCTGCTTCCTGGGCCTGCTGGCCTTCACCTCCGCCTGCTACTTCCAGAACTGCCCTCGGGGCGGCAAGAGGGCCCTGTCTGACTTGGAGCTGAGACAGGTATGAGCGTGGCACATCTCAGGAGTGCCTGGAGGGGACAGAGGCCCTGGGCTGGCCAGCACTGCCCTGCAGGGGCCAGGAAGGAGAGAAGTGGGAGAGGCAGGGCCCAGCAGAAGGGAGGCTTGGTGTGGCTGGGCAAGGGTGGGTGGCCAGGCTGCCAGGCAGGCTAGGACAAGCTGAAGGACTTCTGGGACGCTATCCTCATGCAGGCAAGGGACGAAGGCAAGCCGGTGTTTCCCCAGTAACTGGGCTTAGGGCACATCAGGGAGAACTGGACAGCAAGGCCTCCTCTGTGCCGGTCGGAGCCTCGCAGCCACAACAGGCTGTGTCCTAGCCAGCATGGGAGGTCTCCCCACTCCAGTCTTCACCCTCTCCTAGCCACAGCTCCCCTGGGCCCCACACAGAAGCTGGTCATTGCTCTGAGCTCCTTGGGGTGAGGGTGCCACCTCCAGCAAGGAACTTCTTCTGGTAACCTAGCCCAGTTCTCCCCCACCCTGCATGTCCAGTCAATTCCCTTTTATGCCCTTTTCAGCAGAGCAGAGGGAAACCTGATCACCATGCTCAATCCCACCGAGGCCAGAGGTGGCTCAATTCTGAGCTGTTGAACAGACTCCAGTGGGTCGGTGGGCAGCCCCCACAGACTACCCTTCCCTCTGCTTGGCACCTTTGGAAACCCGAGTCAGCGAGGTGCCCCATGCCCTTCCCTAGGGCTCAGGCTTCTGCCACCCGCAGTTAGCGCTGGGGGGTGAGCTCAGGTCCAGGCCCACAGAGGCCCACCAGCTGGTAGAGCCTAGACAGAAACGGCAGGAGGGGCCTGGAAGTGTTGTGGGCGGGGCAGGCGCTAGAGATCAAGTTTGAGTGATGGGAGCAGGGGAGGAAGGTCGGAGTTAGGGGCAGGGTGGGCAGCTGAGAGAGGGGCACACACCAGTGATGGCCCCAGAGCTGAGAGGGAGGGTCTCTTCCGTGCAGCCCGGTGCGGAGGGGGCCCCCCTGGGAGGATGCTGAGGGCTGTCACTCAGAGCCGGTCCTCTGTCACCTGAAAACCCAGGGACTTTAGTGGACGTGCTCCCTTTCCCTCCCGACCGCGGGGCCCCCCGGCCTCGCTCGGCCCTCGGTCACCTCCCCCCACCCCTGCCCTTCCCGTCAGTGTCTCCCCTGCGGCCCCGGGGGCAAAGGGCGCTGCTTCGGGCCCAGCATCTGCTGCGGCGACGAGCTGGGCTGCTTCGTGGGCACGGCCGAGGCGCTGCGCTGCCAGGAGGAGAACTACCTGCCGTCGCCTTGCCAGTCCGGCCACCAGCCATGCGGGAGCGGGGGCCGCTGCGCCGCCGCCGGCATCTGCTGCAACGATGGTGCGCGCGACCGGGACGGCCCCGGGGCGGACGGGGATCTGGGCAGGGGTGGCCCGTGGGGTTCCGGGCGGGCCTGGGCGATCTGGGTCCCGCCCGCCTCGCGCTCACCCTATGTACCCTCCCCACCGCAGAGAGCTGCGTGACCGAGCCCGAGTGCCGGGGGGGGCTCCGGCTTCCACCGCCGCGCCCGCGCCAGCGACCGAAGCAATGCGACCGAGCTGGACGGGCCGACCGGCGCCTTGCTGCTGCGGCTGGTGCAGCTGGCAGGGGCGCCCGAGCCCGCGGAGCCCGCCCGGCCCGGCGTCTACTAAGCCGCTCGCTCACACCCTCCCCTCTCCCGTCCCCCCGCAACCTGGAGAAATAAACCTTTTAAAATGCACCCGCGAGTGTCTGTCTTGGTGTCCGTGGGTGGGGAGGGGGCGCAGAGGAGACGGTGGGGCGCCGACCCTTCTCCCTCCTCCGCCCCAGCCGCGGGGAAGTGATCTTGGCTTGGCTTGAGTGCTGGGGCAACTAGGCATAGGGCGACCTGGGGAGCGGGGGCGGGCAGGCCTGGGGCCAAGAGTGATCCTGCAGGGGCTGGGTGGACCCCCCAGCTGAGGTGTGGAAGGAAAGGCGAGGAGAGGGGAAGACATTGAACAAGACAGCAAGAGAAGACAGAGAAAAGGATGGAGAGAGACGTTGAGAGCTTCCGAGGGAAGAGTGAGAAAGCTCGAAGGGGAACTATCCCCATTTACATCCCCGGATACTGAGGCACGGCTTCAGGGTCCCACCCAACTCCCCAGATTTCCAGTCTACTATTTCATCCAGGGCTGAGGGTTGTGTGTGTGTGTGTGTGTGTGTGTGTGAGAGAGAGAGAGAGAGAGAGAGAGAGAGTCTGGAGGCAGGAGGCAGCAAATCACCCCAGACCCAGCAGACAGAGGGCAGAGTACTATCCCTCCAGGAGGAAGTAAAGCACTCGCCAAGTCTCCCCCCTCAGCCAGTGAAACCTTAGCTACATGTCCCCCCATCCTCACAGCCACACAAACCACACACACTAATCCAAACACAGACCAGCGAACAACCAGTAGGGGCATGCCTTGGGGTACTTGAGCACAGCTATGGGTAGAGACCCTGAATACACAATCAGAACCACAGACATACCCAGAGAAACACAGATACAAACAGACTCACCATGGGCAGGGACACATACACACACACACACACACACACACACACACACACACTGTAGGACCTCCCATGCTTTGACACATGCAGCTTCAGGACAGACATCCACGGGCATTCGGCCAATGCTATTCTGTGTCCCTCTGTCCTTCTTTGTCCCCTCTTCCTTTATCCCCTTTGTGCCTCACCCGCCTCTCTTCCCTGGTCCCCCAGCTTCTTGGCCCTCTTTTGTTTCCTTCCTTGTCCCATTACACCCTCCCTTCCTCTTGCTCTGTTCCATCTGTTCTCTATATCCTGTCCTTGGGATTTCTTGCTCCAGGCCTTGGGGCAAAAAAAAGACTTCTCCTCTGGAATCCTCCACTGACTTAGAAGCCAGGAGGTAGGGCAGGCGGAGAGAAGTCCCTCTGAGCCCTGATCCACACCCTGCTTTAGGGTGGAGTGTCCTGACTCAGCCGCACCAGCTTCCTGGTGCTCAGCGGAAGTCATGCTCTTACCTGGTTTTAGAGCTCTTCCGTTTGCCATCACCCCTGACCTGGCTCAGTGCTCAGAGTGATTAAGTATAAACAGAGGGCAGGAGCCCCGTGGGCTTCTATCCCTGCCATAGACTCCCGCCTCTGCCCTGGTGTGGTCCATCAGACCCCAGTCCCCAGGTCGTCGTAGGACTGGGACAGGCCAGATCTAATAGGAACTTAGTAACCCTTCAGGACACAGGGAGGTAGACAGAGGCAGCTGGTTTAAATAAAAATAGATCATATACCTAAAGGTAAAACCTGAAACTCTACAGCATCTTGAAGAAACTATGAGAGAAATCATTAATGACCTTGACCTATGCAAAGGTTTCTTAGCTCTGACACCAAGAGGAGAATCCATAATAGAAGAAATTTGAGGGGCACCTGGGTGGCTCAGTCCTTAAGTGTCTCTGCCTTCAGCTCAGGTCATGATCTCAGGGTCCTGGGACGGAGCCCTGCACCAGGCTCCCTACTCAGGGAGCTTCTGCCTGCTTCTCCCTCTCCCACTCCCTCTGTTTGCTGTCTCTCTCTCAAATAAATAAATAAATAAATAAAATCTTAAAAAAGGAAAGAAGATATGTTTGGAATTCACCAAAATTAAGAACTTCTGCTCGTTGAAAGAATGAAGAAGAAAATCACAGACTGGAAGGAAAGATTTATAACTCACAAAGCTTATCAAGGATTGATATCCAGAATGCCTAAAGATCTCTCAAAACTCCATACTAAGAAAACAACTCAACTTTTTATTTTATTATTATTTTTTTAAGAAAATTGAAATTGCTGCCCTTCCAAATTGTACTGCAGGTCCTCGCTAATATGGTGTGACAGAAAATCAACCGTAGTGATACATGTTCAACGATGAAGTTGATAATGATAGTTTTCAGACTGGGACTGCCTGGCTGGCTCAGTCAGTGGAGCACGTGACTCTTTATCTCCAGGTCTCGAGTTCAAGCCCCCTGTTGGGCTTAGAGTTTACACTCAAAAAACAAACCAAACAACAACCATTGCTTTCAGACTGAAACACTTCTGTCCTAAAACTTCACACAGCTGTTGTTTTACAAGTTAGTATTATTTACAATAATCCATATGTCCTAATTTACATCATTTTTAACAAAGTAAATTTGGGGCATCTTTTCATATCAAAACATTTACCTTTATCACAGTCTTTCTGTTTGGTAGCTTTTGCTATATGAGAAATTTCAAATGTATGAAAAAGTAGACCCAACAGGCAAAAGTCCCTCAGGTCCACCCCCTTCAGGACAATTACCTTCAATAATTATCAACCATGTGGTTGCCTGTTTCACCTTTACCCCACTCTCGCCTCTCACTCCCCCACCCCCGAATTATCTTGATGTCAATCCCTCCTGGCATAACCATTTCATCTGTGAACATTCCAGTGTGGATCTCAAAAGATTTCTTCTTCTTCTTCTCCTTCTTCTTCTTAAAGATTTTTTATTCATTTATTTAACAGAGAGAGAGAGCACAGCAGGGGGAGCAGCAGGCAGAGGGAGAGGGAGAAGTAGGCTTTCCTCTGAGCAGGGAGCCCAGTTTGGGCCTCGATCCCAGGACCCCCAGGGATCACGATATGAGCTGAAGGCAGATGCTTAACAAGTGAGCCATTCAGGCGCCCCTCAAAAAGATTTCTTCTTAAAAATGTGACCACACAGGGGCGCCTGGGTGGCTCAGTGGGTTAAAGCCTCTGCCTTTGGCTCAGGTCATGATCCCAGGGTCCTGGGATCGAGCCCCGCATCAGGCTCTCTGCTCATCAGGGAGCCTGCTTCCTCCACTCTCTCTCTGCCTGCTTCTCTGTGATCTCCATCTGTCAAATAAATAAATAAAATCTTAAAAAAAAAGTGACAAAAATGTGACCACACATAGCAGCATTATTTACAATAGACAAATTTTGGAAGCAGCCCAAATGTCCACATACTAATGAATGGATAAAGAAGATGTGGCGTGTATACACAGAGCAATATTATTCAGCCATAAAAAAAGAATGAAATCTTGCCATTTGCGACAACGTGGATGGAGCTAGAGAGTATAATTCTAAGGGAAATAAATCAGAGAAAGACAAATACCATATGATTTCACTCATTTGTGGAATTTAAGAAACAAAACAAACAAACAAAGGAAACAAAGAGACAAACCCAGAAACAGACTCTTAACCATAGACAACAAACTGATGGTTATCAGAGGGGAGGTGAGTGGGGGATGGGTGAAACAGGTGATGGGGATTAAGGAGAGCACTTGACAGATGAGCCCTGGGTGGTGTATAGAAGTGCTGAGTCACTATTTTGTACAGCTGAAATTCATGTTAACACACTGTTGACTGTTAACTATATTGGAATTAAAATAAATTAATTTTAATACTATAATACTATGTTAAAATTATATATGTGATAATATAATAATACAATAATTAATTAAAAAACTACAACAACAAAACCTGTGACCACAGACTGTTATCACACACACACACAAGCTGCAAACTGAAACTCAACAATGTATTTGTATCATCAAGTATTCAGGGACTATTCAAATTTCCCTAAGTGTTCCATGAGTGCACTCTTTGCAATTCATTGATATCTGAGTCTCTTTTTCTTATGGCACAAGAGAGAATTTTTAGTTTTATTTATTTATTTATTTATTTTAAAATTAACACACTTTTTTTTTTGGAACAGAGAGATAGGGAGAGAGGGAACACAAGCAGGGGAAGTGGCAGAGGGAGAGGGAGAAGCAGGCTCCCCGCTGAGCAGGAAGCTGGAAGCGAGGCTCAATCCCAGGACCCTGGGATCATGACCTGAACCAAAGCAAATGCTTAACAGCTTAACTGACTGAGCCATCTAGGCGTCCCAAAAGAGAATTAAAAAAATTTATTAAAAACATTTTATTTATTTATTTGAGAGAGAGACAGAGGTAGAGAGAGAGTAGGAACAGGGAGGAGAGGGAGAGACAGGCTCCCCCCAAGCAGGGATGCCGACTAAGGGATGGGTCCCAGCACCTTGGGATCATGATCCAAGTGGAAGGCAGATATCTAACTGATTGAATCACCCAGGTACCCCTAAGAATTTTTTGTAAAGGAAGCCCTACTCCCAACATGCAGCTTGAACTCAACACACGACCCCAAGGTCAAGATTCTCATGCTCCATTGACTGAGCCAGCCAGGCGCCCCACAAAAGAGAGTATTGATTCTCGTTGCCCTTCTACATTTTAAAAAATTTTTATTTTCTTATCTTTTTATTTTCCTGAACTTGTTGTAGGGAATGGGTTCCAATCTGTTTTTATTTTATTTGCTCTGCTGTGTTGTGTGCGTGTCACCTAGCATAGGCTTGTTTAGTCACATATTAAAATAATATTACTTTGTATTAAATTACTTTCCTTTTCTCTATCTTACTGCTAAGATTAATTACTTGTTTTTGGAAATCGTATGTAGGTGGGCATATTCTCTAGGAATTTCATTTCCAAGTAGTAGAAGGACAAAGAACAAAGCTACACAAAGTGGGAGCTTGGAACCACCGCCCTGGACAAGCCCCCAAGCACTTGGGAGGTTTGAAGGAGTCATTCAACAAGGACCAAAGGCCGTGGGACTGAGAAAGCAAGAAGAAGGAAGAATGGTAACAAGCTTGCTTCTGTACCTTTCTGGCCACCAGGCCCAGCTTGATGCCACCTCTGGGACATACCCAGGAAAATACATGTCAATCCG